CAGGGAAAGCTCGGGCTTTCCGGTCCTACGAAGCTGGTTCTCTTTTTAGCAGGCTAGATCTCCATGGTAACTTATGCTGTGCGGCTAACCTGCCCCGGAGCAGGTTAGGTTGCAGGCTAAGAGATCAACTCAATGAAAGCACCGCCTGCTGACCAATCAGAGCTCAGTGTGCGGAGTATAAAGCGATCAAGTCATATTACAGGAGAAAGGAAATACAGAAAAGCTGCCGTTGCAGGAAAGACGGCCGGCAAAAATCCCCGACTGTGTGAACGTGAACATTAATAGAATATCACCTTCCATCTTCAGAGCAATCTGAATCTTTCTCCTGTTATATGACTTGATCGCTTTAAATTCCGCACACTGAGCTCTGATTGGTCAGCAGGCAGTTCTTTCACTGAGTTGAGCTCTTAGCCTGCAACCTAACCTGGTCCCGACCAGGTTAGCCGCACAGCATAAGTTACCATGGAGATCTAGCCTGCTAAAAAGAGAGCCAGCTTCGTAGGACCGGAAACCCTGAGTTTTCCCTGAAGTTAGCCGGCTAAGCGAAAAAAATCCTGCTTCGTAGTATACCCCTCTGGTCACCCTAGTTACATGTTGTGATCATGGATGTTGCCCCTGGTTTCTGTTATGTGATTATGATGTGCTGTATCTGACATGTATGTAGAAAGTGTGTTGTTTGCATTTATTGTCCTCTCTTAACCTTTCACCTGCATCTACTTGTCTTTCATCCTTTTTTTGTATCACTAATGCTGTTGATGTATTGTGATTTTAAGGGTGTCCATTATCATCTGGCCGGGGATAACAGCTGGAAATTAGCAATGTTTGCTAAAGCTGCCCCGTTTACTGTGTTTTGTGACAGTGGATCAATGGGGACTGTCCACGACACTATAAACAAATAACTAAACTAAACACAAGATGACAAAGATGAAGGCACTTTCTGTTCAAGGTTCGGCACATATAATAAAGTGTGGTGTCATGGCGAGCGAGTACTGGATTACATTTATAAGACTGAGGTGTTTGTGATTGAACAAAGAGGCTTTTCATGGCCTGCTTTCATCTGTGTTTGTTTGAAAGCGTTCTAGTATTACATAACAAGGTCTGTGATAAATACTTTCAAGTACACAGAAAGTATAGCAGAAGACATACCTTCACATCTCTCACAAATAGTGTTCTTCTGAAGGGCCAGTTTCCTTGTAGCTCCGTTATAAAGATCATCCAGCGTCACTGAAATCTGATGAACTATGTTCTTTCCTGGGACGAGACAAATCAGATTTATTGGAATAAGGTTGGCAGTTGGAGAGATTTTTACAAGACACTCCTTGTATCAGTTTCCTTCAAATAACATTCAACCTACCTAACATAAATCCTAATAATCCTAATTAAAGAACAAGAGAAACTGGGATGAGAGATGATACTGGGCATTATGTGGAGAGCAGCTGTGTGTTTACTTCTCTATTAAGGCTCAGGAGGTTTTATAGCCAAACCGCATGGTCACACATACAATCATAAGTTGCTGTGCAGCTAGTTAAGACTTAATTGAACATGCTTTCTCCACAGCCTTGTGTTTTGGCTTTAATTCGGTTACAGTTCTTGGTCTCATGGTAAAGTATATCCAGAATATTTGTGTGGTTTTGACTGTTGATCCGACAAAACAAGAAACACACATTAATCAATTCTGAAAATAATCATTTGTTTTTGGCCAACAATGAACTAAGTGTTCCATGTTTCAACTTCATGCTAGTTAAAAGAAGAGGCTCCTTCCAAGAAGAAAAACATTATTGCTTTATAACACTGACAAGAAAAACCGACACATCAAATCTTAGCTAAAAACATTATGCTAGTTTAAGGATTCATTCTTAAATGTTTTTTTACCTTTTCTCTCTCTGTGCATCCGACTACCCCCACCAAAAAACAAGTCAAAGATGTCCATGGGCGAAGCAAAGTTCCCACCACAACCCCCTCCTCCACCAGACCCTCCTTCCTTTATAGCCTTTTCTCCTCCACGGTCATACACCTCTCTCTTCTTGGCATCTGACAAAACCTCATATGCCTGTGAGATCTGCTTGAACTACATGTCAAATAAAGAAAAAAACATATAATATATTACAACATATACGATTGGTTATGTAATATATACAAGTTATTTACCTTGCTGACGTGTGCAAAATTAATAGGTGAGGTCTGATTATACCATAGCCCTTTAAATACTTTTGTATATGGCCTCTACAAGTGGCAAAAGAACATTTTGATCAAATCTACCAAACGACAGAAAAGCCTGATTCGTTAGATCAATGTATTAATATGTTTCATCCTGAAATATTTTAAGGCATGTACATTAATAAGGCTGTATTTTAAGTATAAGAATGCTACCCTTACCAATACATGTGGACTTTTCTAAAACATATGTTGCCTTTTCTATGTAAGAAAAAGGACTGCAAACAGTCTTACCTTCTCTCCTTCTGTGGGGTTTTTGTCGGGGTGATATTTCAAGGCTAGTTTGCGATAGGCCCTTTTCAGTTCATCTGGAGTGGCATTAGGTTTCACACCCAACGTGTCATAGAAGCCCGTTTCCTTCACCATGATTGTCTTTCACCAACAAACCTTGGAAAATCTGAAGAAAGATTCAAACATATCATACTTTTAGTTAGTGTTTAGCTCTTAAACACCTTCAAAATCTACACAATGTGCCTACCAGTATTGATAATAAAAGAGAAACAACATGGTAATAAAGTACGAGCCCGCACCATGTCATTGTGACAAGAGGAAGACATTATTTTAAACATGAAAAAACATTCAAAGCACATCATCATCTGGCTGAACTGTGAGAGAGGACCTCATGTTGTTGGATGTGAACATGTGAGGGTTGTAGTTAGCTTGAAAAAGGGCTAAATTGTAATATATGCTTTATGCCTTTTTATTATTCTAACATTCATTGCCACATCTCAAACATTCGCTTGCACTTTTTTATTTGTTTTACGTCCTATATATATATATATATATATTCATGTTGCATTGTTGGAGGAGCCTGTGACTTACGTTTTTCATTGCCATATCTAAAATGTAGCTACTGTGCACATGACAATAAAGCCTTGAATTTAATGCTAATATTCCCTAAAATCCCCACTTTAACATATGGGAGTGAACACATCCTCAGTTCAACACAGCACAATTCAAGAGCACCAACAACTACAACCTCTACAATGAACAGTTAATTGAATCAATACATTTCTAAAATAGCTAGGTGTAGCAATTTAAATGCCTATTGACTCGCTAGATCATGGGTGGATCCTACAAAAGGTTCCCTCGTTTCGCTTTCCATTTCTGGAGAATGATCAGTAGCAGTTACATCATGTGATGTGGATAACAGTTGATTGTGATGAAATACTTAATATGTTGAACATGAGTCTGAGGTGAAATGTAACGATTAAAATTAAGACATTGGAAAAGCAAAGCACACATTAAGGTTTAAATATAACACAAACTCATTTGTACACGTCAATTGTTATGAAAGGTTTCCTCACATCAGGGAGGCAGGGGCTCAGCCACGCACTGTGTCCACCACAAGTTTATTTTTGGTTGACACGAGGTAATAATCGATTCTTAACAACTACCTGTTATACTGCTCATGGTGAGGACAGTGGCAATGATTCATATATATCACTGTTCGCACTTTAGCTAGCGTTACCTTAGCCCTTACATGACACGCTGAAGTTAGTTTCAGATTCGAAGCTTCCGGTTAGGCATTTAAGTGAAAAGCTAAAGGAACACACGGGGGATCGGTCGCCACTTTTCTGTTCACTCATTTACATTTTAGCCTCACAACGTGTACGATGCAGTTACGAAACTTAACAGATGTGCCATTCGTCAACAACTACACTTGAGCTTTTCTAACTATGTTGATCCAAACGTAATCAAGATTGTAATTTTGACATTTTTTATTTTTACCAATATAATTAATTCAAAAATGTGAAAGTATGTTTAACGAAGAGTCAATTGCTATTGTGTCTTAACACTGATTCACAACAAGAGAAGCACAAACACGTAAATGCAGAGGCTAAGCCTACGATTATAAAGCTAACTTCATCGTGTACTAGCCAAACCCCTGATACCAAGGCTAATGCTAACATACTAGCTCTATGCTTTTTCTGACCACAAATTACTGAATAAACTGTGAAGCTGATATATACACCATATTAAGCATATGATCATTTCCTCACCTTGTATGGAAACAGTAGTTTGAATCCTTACAGCCTCAGTTTACAGAAAGGCTCTTCCAGAAGCTTCCAACTCGCCTCTACAAAAAGCTGATTCAGTGACGTCTATTTCCTGCGACCCGGCTCACCAAAACAAAGCGTGGGCTGAAACCGTTTTGTGACTGTTAAAATCGCACATAATATGCTAAAATGCCGATTTGCTGGCTTATCAGCGAGGAGGGCAATCATAAACCCATCCGACTGCCTCACTTGCAGACTGTGGTCTTGGGTCGAGGTCCAGAGACGAGTATTAAAGACAAAAAATGCTCTCGGCACCAAGGTAACGTAACAAAAAACGATACATTTCTTTTGATGCACTGGCTATGTTAGCTAACATCATCAGTCAAACGTAAACAAATAGTGAAATGCCATAAAAAAAAAAATGCATAGAGGCAACATTTCATGCTTCCACCATGGGGTATTCTTTATCATAGTTTTTTCCAACAGACATATATTACATTATAAAACGGACAAGTCAAATCAAGCAATCTGATTGGTTCTTAGCCGTGATATACTGAGCGTATACCATGGGTAGAATTGTAAGTTACTTTTCACAACAAGTCAGTATCCCTCCGCGTCTACGAAAAACAGTATACCGATGGGCTGAAAAGCAAACTGCATACTGGAACAAGAAAGCAGCGGAGAAGTAACGGGGCAGAAACCCTCCTTTTTACGCAGCGGTCCAGACATAGACATCAAACGGCAAAACATATTCAGTGTGCAGTTCCTTTGGCATTAGGGCAGGGATATCTGGACACTTTCCAAGGTTTGACATAATGAATTGTGCTACTTTTAAAGCAAGCAACGATGTTTTCAAATCTGTAATCAAAGAGGTCCGCAAAAACACTATCGACCAATCAGTTTGCTTGATTTGACTTGTCAGTTTTATAAATATATTTGCATTTCTTCAGTTACGAAACAAACTTACAAAGCCTAAGATGGAAACCTTTGAAGATTAACTTCGACCTCCGGGGGGGTCTTACTATGGAGGAGTGGATTGAGCAGTGCCTATCTCAAGAAAGCACCTAAACGACGACATGCAGAGCTACGTGAAGAGCAGGTAGACCAACTGGAAAAGTAGCACCATTCAAAAGCTTTCTGATGCGGGTCTTGAAACAAAGCAGAGAAATTATGACCGTTAGTGGCCACAGGCTGAGAAAGCTCTCTCCAGAGCTACTGGAAGCCCAATCTCTGGGACCGGAGAAAGTGGAGCAATATGATCGCCACGCCAAGCAACAGCCTAGAACAACCTCAACCTATACAAGTGACCACGTAAGCCATGCTACTGATGCTGGACAGTTTTTCAGTGGCTGCACAATAAACAGCAACATACACATTAATGTAAATAAACAACCAAATAATGGATCAACGCTCTCTGTCTAATATGTTCGATAGCTGTTAGTGTTGTTGCATAGCAACCACCTCGCACTATGTTTTGTGCAGAAGGCAACGGAGGGACTATTTTATTTTGATCATC